TCTCGTCTTTCCTCCAAGCTATACATGTTAAGATCCTTTAACCTTTCCTGGTAAGTTTTACCCCGCAATCCATGAACCAGTTTAGTAGCCCTTCTCTGAACCCTCTCTAAGGTATCAATATCCTTCTGAAGATACGGTCTCCAGTACTGTGTACAATACTCCAAGTGAGGTCTCACCAGTGTTCTGTACAATGGCATGAGCACTTCCCTCTTTCTACTGCTAATACCTCTCCCTATACAACCAAACATTCTGCTAGCATTTCCTGCTGCTCTATTACATTGTCTGCCTACCTTTAAGTCATTAGAAATAATCACCCCTAAATCCCTTTCCTCAATTGTTGAGGTTAGGACTCTATCAAATATTCTGTACTCTGCCCTTGGGTTTTTACGTCCAAGATGCATTATCTTGCACTTATCCACATTAAATGTCAGTTGCCACAATTCTGACCATTTTTCTAGTTTACCTAAATCATTTGCCATTTGGCTTATCCCTCCTGGAACATCAACCCTGTTACATATCTTAGTATCATCAGCAAAAAGACATACCTTACCATCAAGACCTTCTGCAATATCACTAATAAAAATATTAAAGAGAATGGATCCAAGTACAGATCCCTGAGGTACCCCACTGGTGACAAGTCCAAGCTTCGAATATATTCCATTAACTACAACCCTCTGTTGCCTGTCACTCAGCCACTGCCTTACCCATTCAACAATATTGGAATCCAAACTTAAAGATTGCAGTTTATTGATAAGCCTTCTATGTGCAACAGTGTCAAAAGCCCCATATCCCTGCTCCCTTTTTCCTCAAAGCTTTTGGTAAAACTTGTCTTGACGTGCTTCCTCAATTCCAACTCTCTCCTTGACCCTCTTCAGTCTGGATTCTGCCCCCTCTACTCCACAGAGACTGCCCTGACTTGAGTTACAAATGATCTAATTGTGGCTAAATCCAAAGGCCACTACTCCATACTAATTTTTCTTGACCTCTCTGCTGCCTTTGACACTGTTGATCATGATCTAATTCTCCTAACTCTTCAATCTCTTGGTCTGTGTGACACAGCCCTCTCATGGTTCTCCTCCTATCTCTCCCTCTTTCCATGTCTCGTTTTCCAATGACACCTCCTCCCCTTGTCCTGTTTCAGTCGGAGTCCCTCAGGGTTCAGTCTTTGATCCCCTTTTGTTCTCTCCTTATACTGCCTCTCTTGGCAAATTTAATAATTCATTTTGATTCCACTACCCCATGTACGCTGATAACACACAGATATATCTCTCCTCCCCTGACCTCTCCCCTGCTGTCCTACAACATGTCAACAATTCTTCTCTCTCTGACTGGATGTCCTCCCGCTTTCTGAAACTCGATCTTTCTACTCTACTGGTGACCTTCTCCTGTCTGCTGCTTGCACTCTTACTGCAAATTCATGCCTGCAAGGCTTCTCATGGGTGGCTCCTTTTCTTTGTCAGGCCGTAACTGGTCCGGCTCCGTTCCGGCAGTTCCGGTATGCGGAACCGGCTCCGCCCCCTTTCTGACGCGGCTCTCACACGCTTTATAGAGAGACCGCGCCAGATTCAAGAGGCTTGGTGATTTCGGATGTTACTTCCGCATTCAACGCCGGCTAAGCTTCTCTTCGTTCCTAACGTGTACCGAACCTTGGATTGTTGTAACAGACTTTTGCCTTCTCATTGCCCTCTGACCACGACCGTATTGGATTTACCGGATCTCTACTTATTTCCTTGAAACCGGACTGTCTATGTCAAACATCTTTTGGACTCAATCTATTCAGTTCCATGGAGGACAACTCCCATCAATCTTAAGTATACAATTTACTTCTATCTCTAAAGGTTTACTTATTAATGAACTTTTACTTGCTTGCTGTAACCTGCATTTACTAAAATATTATTGCAATCATTAAAGCCTTTTCTTTTCCACTAATTGCCTGCAACCTCCACCTTGCTTTAAAGCTACAGTAACCTTATTAATTTAAACGATTTCTCCTCTTTTTGCTATTGTAATTAAGGAGTTTTACAAGCTGCAGTTGAGCTCCAAATCCAAAACCTCTTGTGACATAACAGAATCACCAAGCCTTAAACATGGAACCAGCAGATGTGAATTCCCAAATTATCTCTTTAACCCAAAGAGTAGACATGCTCACTCAAGGCATGCAGGATTTGCAAATTGCTAACGAGAGACTTATTTCTTATATTAGAGAATTGCAAAACAAGGTCACTCATTCTTCAAGTGGCCCTGCTGTCTGCAGCCCAGAAAAGTTTTTTGGAGATCGTTTCAAATATAGAGAATTTCTGAATTCTTGTAAATTATTGTTTATTCTTAAACCCAGGTCATACCCCACTGACAGAATTAAAGTCTGTTCAATAACATGCTACCTAAGGGGAGAACCTATGTCCTGGGCACATTCCTTCCTGGAAAATGAGGATCCCATAGTGGATTCATTAGATGATTTTATCGAGGCAATGTCACTTCTCTATGAGGACCCAAATAAACAAACTACTGCTGATCTTACTATTAGATCTCTACAGCAAAGAAATCGGCCTGTAGAAGATTATATAGCTGAGTTCAAACGATGGGCTTTGGAAACCCAATGGAATGATATAACTCTGCGCAATCAGTTCCGTTTAGGATTATCTGAAACAGTTAAAGATTAATTATCTAGAACCACTCTCCCCCCCAACGCTTGATACATTAATTCAACTCTCTATCAGTATAGACAGAAGAATCAGAGAGCGTAAAGCAGAAAAAGCACTCACTAATTCACTTTTGAAAAGACCCACTCCTCCCATGCGAATTCCTAATAAACCCCTGCAACCAATTGAACCTATGGAAATTGTGTTTATTGGCGGACCTCTGTCTATTAAAAAAAAAATACAAGAAGGAGATAATGAAATCTCTGCATGTATTGTGCTTCTAATGAACATATATTACAACACTATTTGCTTGCTATTGTTGTAGAATTATTAGGCCTCTATAAATTTGTAAGGCCCCTTTAAATCCTCTTGCTATACCTCTAAGAGGCCCCCATAGTTTTACAAGGAAGCTTTGTCTATAGAACATAGAATTTGCATGTCAGCAAGAAATAGCTTTGATAAAATGTGTATTTACTAAAATCCTTGAAACTTAACCTTGAGAAACTAACAAGTGCCAGCTACGCTCCAAATGTATAGCTGCCAAAAGGCCCCTCCCGTCGAGTGAGCTCCTCATTTTAACAAAATGGCGCTAAAACCTGTAGGAGTTAAGAAATTACGTAGATAGTGACCTAAGAATGGGGAGGGCATTTTACTAACATCTTAGCACCTAAGCCAATTAACAATGTCTATTTGTCTATATCTTGATTTTCTTCAATGATGTAATAATGCCTTTATAAGGGTCTGCGCACCCATTTTCTGTCAGAAGCCATTAAACTTCTCTGAAGTTCTTTCATTACCCTGAACCTTGTGTCTCAGTGTGAATTTACTTCTGCGTGCACGCAACTTTATTATCTTTAATTTGGACAGGAACAGATAGTCATTCAAACTAATTGGTTTGCAGTAAATTATCTAGAACAATTGGCGCCCAACGTGGGGCTCTGGGCTATGTCCAGTCTGGGCAGCTGTCCAAGAAGACGCTGGGGGGGCTGAATCCTGGGGGAAGGAAAAGAGCCTGATCACCTCTGAATACACGGTAGAGATTGCTGCAGCACCTAGCCGGTATGTTCCTACCCCTGTGATTGACCTGCCCCAGTGTCTGTGACTGCTGCCGAGAGGACATCAAAGTCAGGTAATAACTTGCCCAGAGTCTTTGTATTGTTAATGATACCTAGTTTACCTGCATGTTGACTATCTGTTGCCTGGGTGTGTTTGTATTGGTATGTGTTTAACTTAGTACCCGGGGAGTGTAAGTGCCTGTTTAACCCCTTTTAGGTACCACATGCCTGTGGTAGTAAGGAAAAAGGGGGGTGGACCTGTGGAAGTTTTCCTGGGGGTCCTCTATTGCCTGTTTAACTCTTTTAGGAGCCACGTGGCTGTGGCTGTAAGGAAAAAGAGTAGGGGGAATCTGTGGAGGATGATGTAGACTCATTGCTTCCTGGGGGTTCCCCAGAGTGTCATTTTGACCGCTTAGCTAGCCTCATCGGACACTTCTTCTTGGTAAAATTCCAGCCTCGAGCGCTGAGGCAGGTAAGATTCCAATTCTTTAGGCTATACAGGATTCGGGTTGGAAGCTGTTGCTGTTTCCTGTGGCTGCTGGTAGTGAGACTTGCGGGTGGGTCCGCAACAGGGACACTACGAGGTTGAGGGAGGTGGCTTTTGGCCACACGAGTAAAGGCAAGGGATAAAACTGTTGAACTTATTTGAACTGTGATGCATTCACTGTATTTACACTGAAATGTTATTGTCTTAATTGTCTGTCACACAGATTCCTGTGTTTACTTCTATCTTACTCACTGTACTATTTACACTTTCCCCTCCTATTTCTCTTTCTCTTTGTTGAGAGAAGTGATTGGTCACACACTTCTCGCCACGCTCCAATCCGCGGCTACCACGGGTAGGCGGAATCAGTGACTAGTCTACGTTTTGGGAAGACGTACTTAAAGAGCTTGCTCTTAAAGTAGCAGTCGAGCACGGTAGACGTTCTGTTCCTTTCTCTCTCTATATCTGGGACGCCTTGTATAGGGAGGATGGGACAGAAGTTAGATAAACCCAGTAAGGGTTGGTTAGCATGTGATCTAGTGGAAGACAGAGAAGGAGAAGAGATGGTTAAGAAAGTGAGTAAGATTGCTAAAGTATGTGGAATTACCGTACCTCTGTGCGGCAGATTGTAGCCAGAGAGCTGGCGTAAGTTACTGACAGAAGAAAGGGAAGCTGTCGGACCAAGATTTGGTTTGTACAGCAGAAGCCTGGTACCGAGTAGCAAGAGCTATTCAGCAAAAGGGATAGGTTGAGGAAGATATTGATCACAAAGGTTTAAGATTGTATGTATATCATAATAATTGTGTTACTGGGAAGTTATCCCAGCAGTGCCCTGTCCAGGAGGTGACCACTTCCATCATCCTGTCAGTAATGACCGAAATGTAGCTGACCATGGTCACCATCCCACCCCAATCTTAAAACGCTGTGGGGTTTTTGTATTTTGTGTTAGCCATTACCCTGGTAGAGGGTGGGGGTATAAATGAAATGTTGTGTTTTTGTGTCTCTTTGCTTTGTAATGTAATTGTCCTTCTGTCTTGTTACTGTACAGCGTTGACATGGTTAACTTCGTGCTGGCAGGCAGTCTCTCTCTTGTTCCACTCAAATCCCCCTCTGCTAAAACACCCCCCCCTCCCCTCGCTTCTGTGAGACGCGGGGGGGGGGGAGGGGGCGGAGGGGGGTGGTGACATGCTTGCGATTTAGGTCTGTCTCTTCGGTGTTCTGTAGAGTTATTCAGAAGCTACTGATAAGAGTATAAGGTACTGAGGATTGTGGGAGTGACGAGCTCACAAGATTGCATTCAGTGTTGAATACGGGATTTAGGAAGGTGTAGAGGGAATATGCGATGTTGTTAAGTCAGTATAAGAGGAGGAAAGTGATTAATGGTTTGAGGAAGATAAGGGAATTTGGTTGAATTCCGCGAGTTTATTTTGCATCATTTTATTATTTTAAAGTTATTTTAAAGTACATGTTTCTAGAAACAGCTGTATGGGCTGTTAAATGCATAATGTTCTCAACTGTCTTATTTAACCTGCCAGGTCTGTTCATAGTTTAGTATTTCATTTTGCAGAACGGAATGTTGCTTCTCTGACTTATTTTAATAGTTATAATATAGTGTATTGTTGAAAGTGACGTCACTTCCGCCCTTACCATGCCCACACCTCCTGTCTTCCTTTCCCACACCTATCATGGACGTCATCTCACTTCCTCCCTTGCTGTCATTTCCTTCCCCGCCCCTGTCATGGCTGCCTCCATCATGAGGCCTACCCCTATTATGCTCGTCCCATTTAGAGACGTGTTGTAATGTTTCCCTGTATCAACAATGTGTCCGTGATATAAAAAAAGAGAAGGTTGCTAAAATGTAATTTGCAACTGTGGTGTGACCTACAAATGAGATCTGTTGGACACGAATATAAGAGCATAACAGCTGATTATCCAGCTTCATCTTGCAACAAGGGAAATAGCTAAATAATGCAAGTTATTTTAAACATTGTATCTTTACTTAATCGAATCTTGCTAGTTACAGATCTTATGTTTACAGTAACATCCTTTACTTTAAATGATGGTTTAGCATTAGAAGGGTTTGTGACATGTTTATTAACCCAGCCACTACTGGTTATTCATTTTAGTTACAGGGTGGTATAATTGTTATAGTCTAATTGATATAAATGATAGTACCGCAATAGTTAATGTTTTATCCAAAGACATATAGGAACTTTACTTAACTTACTATTAACCATTATTTATAATGATAGACATGTTCAGACTGCAAAAAGCTATGGCTAATGACATACAAAAGGGGTTTGAGTCAGTAACACAGCCCATACTGAGGAGAGCAAACCCGCTGATGCTTAATGCCCCTGCCATGGCAGTGTCTTCAGGGGAACAGGGGGGGCCTCTAGCTACTGTAATTTTACCCATTGAGGGCCAGCCCACCACTTTCCTAGTTGACACAGGTGCAGCCCGAAGTGTTCTGAGAGAACAAGACCTGCCCGATACCTCATTTCTTTCCAATATTGATGTCTCCTGTGTTGGGGTGGACGGCCTTCCAAGGCAAAGTCCCCTGTCCACCCCACTGCGGGTTGGTAACTGCCACAACTTGCTTGCTCGCTTTGTGGTATCTTCCACATGCCCCATTAACCTGTTAGGAGCTGATGTTCTTTCACGCCTGCAGGCATCCATCACCTTTACTCCAGATGGACAAGTGGAACTATCCACCCCTCTATCTGTCTCAGACACCTCAGCTTTGTGCTCCTTACCCCTGATGCTACATCTAGAAGAGCCTCATGGGGATGCAAAAGACCTAAGGACTAATTTCCCTGATTCACTAAAGACTGATGTTCCCAAGAAGCTGTGGTCCACAGGCCCAGAGGACATGGGCCATCTAAAGGTCCCGCCTGTGGTGGTAAAGCTCATCCCAGGCGTAAAATTGCCACGAAAATCACAGTATCCTTTGAAAGCAGCTCAAGCTGCAGCCATTACAATTCAAATTCAAGCACTCCTGGAGAAGGGTGCTCTTGTCAAATGTGAATCACCATGCAATACTCCATTATTTCCAGTAAAGAAAAAGACTCCAAAAGGCGAACCAGAAAAGTACAGATTGGTCCAAGACCTCAGAGCGGTAAATGAAGCCACAGTTTTGGACACTCCAATAGTGCCCAACCCACACACACTCCTTTCCGGCGTTCCACCCTCTGCCAAGTACTTCACTGTAATTGATCTAGCCAATGCCTTCTTCAGTGTTCCCCTGGATCCAACTTGCCAATATCTGTTTGCTTTCACACATGACAAACAACAGTACACATGGACTGTCATGCCCCAAGGGGCACAAAATTCACCAAGTCAATTTGCGAAGGCCATGTGCTCTATCCTTGATCCATGGCAATCTGACCATCCTGAGGTCGTCCTGCTTCAATATGTGGATGATTTGCTGCTTTGTGGAGATGATATACCCACAACAGAACAATGCTCACTTAATCTTCTTTGCTACCTAGCAGAACAGGGATGTAAAGCTTCACGTCTCAAGCTGCAATTCTGCCAACCTACTGTTCTTTTCCTTGGCCATTGTCTGTCTCAGGGAACCAGACATCTTACCCGTGACCGAGTTAGAGCGGTACTGGACATTCCACCTCCAAGGACCTCGAAGTCACTACACGCCTTCCTAGGCCTCATTTCCTATTGCCGAGCATGGATCCCAGAAGCCTCGCTCCTTATGCAACCTCTTTATGATGCTCTCAAGTCAGACCCATTTTGCTTGTCCACAGAAGCCCTTGACAACTTCTGTTCTCTCAAACGTGCTATTGCTTCTGCTCCTGCTCTTGGCCTACCAGACTATACCAAACCCTTCAAATTGTTTGTTTCTTCAAATTGTTTGTTTCTGAAAGACAAGGCCATGCAACAGGAGTACTCACTCAGGCTCATGGTCCTGGAGGCCGCCAAAGGCCTATTGGATTTTTCTCCTGCCAACTGGATATTGTGGCCAGAGGACGTCCCTCTTGCCTTCGGGCCGTCTTTGCTGCCAGAGAGCTCATTGAAAGAACTGGAGATCTTGTCCTTGGCCACCCCTGGTTGTCTTGGCCCCTCATGACATTTCTGCCATAGTCAACCAGGTCCAGCTTAAGCATGTTACTCCTGCCAGGCATCTTCGCCTTCAATGTCATCTTTTGTTGCCTGACAACATTACCCTCCAAAGATGTCAAGTTCTCAATCCGTCCACTCTTCTGCCACTCCCTGAGGGGGGTGTATACTACGGATTCATCATGGACGAAATGTATGTTTCTCTTCTCACTGGCACCATCAAGAAGGAAATGCATCCCAACCTATCCTTTTATGATGGACAAGCACTCCTTCATGACGGAGCAGGACATGCCTTCTGTACCATGTGGTACAAACCAAACATCACTCCTGAACCCTGCTATGAAGATGAACTCTATAAGCTGGTTGAAGTAAAACTCACTGCACAAGACTTCTACTGTGATTCTGAAGGCAACAGTATGGTCTTGATTCATCTACCTCCGGAACTCAAGCATTTGTACCGTCATTGGGACACTGCCATTCCACATGTCCCTGTGACCAAGTTGAAAACAATATCATGGAATGATCTTGGGCCTATGGCAAAAGCATGGGCCACTATGGACGAATCACAGCTACAGGAAAATGGTGTTGTCAAATATCCAACAACTGACCACCTAAAAGCATGGCCGCGTCATTTCCTGGAGAATGAGTTCCAAGATTTAACCATAGTGAATGAATACGACCCAGATACACCTCATGACTGTTTTGAACAGATGAAAATGGAAACAACACATCTACCAACTGTGCATGAAGACCCATTGGTAGATCCCGATCTCACCCTGTTTGTGGGCGGCTCAAGATATGCTGATGAAGAAGGAAGATACCATACAGGATATGCCGTAACCACAACAGATGAAATTATCAAATCATCATCTTTACCATCAACTATGTCTGCACAAGAAGCTGAATTGCAAGCCCTGACTTCAGCATGCAAGATCTCTGAAGGAAAGCGCGCCAATATCTACACGGATTCAAGATATGCACTGGGCGTGGCTTACGACTTCGGATTAATTTGGAAAACAAGAGGATTTCTTACCACCGCCGGTACACCAATCAAGCACGGTTCCGCAATCAAGGAGCTGATGGACGCCCTCCTACTCCCAGAAGAAGTGGCTATTTTGAAGATAAAGCACATGGGAAGTTGGACTCAGATGAAGCAAGGGGCAACCATCTAGCTGATCAGGCTGCAAAACAAGCTGCAAAAGAACCACAGGAAGTGGAAAGAAGAGTGTCCGGAAATGAAGAAACTCCCATATTTACTCTGCAGACTCTTCCAACTGACCTGAAAATCCTGCTGGAACAACAGGCTACAGTTGCCCCTGAAGAAATACAGAAGTGGAAACAGAAAGGGGCAGTTCTGAAGGATGGAGTGTACTCCAACAACCTCAATTTCTGCCTCCCTAAGAGTTTGTACCCAGCAGTCGTACAATGGGCACACAGACCTGCACATTTATCAAAAGATCTAATGAATGCTCTTGTACAAAAATACTACCTCATTGTCCCCATACGAGATTCTATTTGGGACTGCACCTAGGCTAGGTTGCTATTTTCCCCAACAACTACAACTTCAAACTGATGTTTTAGTAGATTATGTAACTGAACTCGCAAATGCTTTGAACAAAATCCATGTCCAAGTTTTCTCTAAAATTCCAGATCCTGATTCTGACACAGGCAAAGACAGTCTGCTCCCCGGTGACTGGGTTCTGGTCAAGAAATTTGTGCGAAAACACACCCTGGAACCAAGATTTGACGGACCGTTCCAAGTTCTCCTGATCTCCCCTACCTCTGTCAAATTGGCCGGAAGGCCTAACTGGATCAACGCTTCCCACTGCAAGAAGACACCTGCCCCAGAGGAAGCTAACTCTATGCAACCATGTGCCTCTGGTACATTATCTCCTTAGTTGGCCTCCTTAAAGCCCAGCAGGTGGCCATCACCAAAGATGCTAGTGGGTACACTTTCTGGTATAATTCATCATGTACCCATGTGGCTACATTCACTTTTGATTACTGTGATATTGTAGAGTGCCCATTCCCTAAGTCACAGATTCAAGCCATTTATAAAGATATACCACAAGCAAAAGACCCATACGTTTGTGTAGTAGATGAACAATGGGGTTATGACTGTAACTACTGGGGGGCTGCGGGATGGAATACTGGGCCTGCCTGGGGTTATAAACCCAAAAGTGCTTTATCTAAGATAGACAATCGGGGTAGATCCCTCCTTCAAAGAATGACTTTAAGAAAGCCTGGAGGAAGTACCCCTATGAAATTAATGTTAAATATTGAACATCCTGGCCCCGAGGATGCAGACCGATATGTAATAGGAATGTATTGGAAGAAAGGTTCCTACAACAAATTAGGTCATTTCTACCTCAGAGATATGTACCACTCTCCAGAGTGGCAAGGGGCTGATCATATGGTCCCAAATCTGCTAAAACCACATATCCAGTCCTTTAAAGATATGATGGCCATCGCTAACCCCACTTTTGAAGATACCATGGCCGCTGAAACTGGATTCAATGACATTAATTTGTGGTTAGAATGGATGAGGTATAATGCCAACAAACATAATAAAACAGCATTTTATGTATGTGGCGGTGCCCGACCCCACCTTGGCACCGTCCCCCTAACTCTCCCTTTAGAGATAGAAGATTGCTTCTTAAGCCTTTTTGCCTACCAATATGACTTTAATAGGTCCCTCTGCATGGCATGGACGGCAGAATACCCTCTCTTAGTTGAAAATGTTAAGCCACCAGATGGAGTCACAGTCTATAGAGGTCTACACACTTGTTATGCCATGTATGACGGGATTGGTAAATTCATGGGTAACTTTTCTAAAGGTTATTGCGCCACTTACAGAACTGTTCCTATACGCCTGTTGCAACACCATACCAGGTCATTGGGGGATATTTACTGGTTATGTGGGGATCTACAGTTAAGATCTAGGCTGGAAACTGAGTGGTGGGGTGAGTGTACCCTGGCCAAAGTTATCATGCCCATTCATATTATTTCTGATAATCATCATGACACATACGACCCTCCACATACATCAGCCAGAGTAAGGCGCGAAACCCCAGTAAAAGGCAGTTTTGACCCCCACATTTACATAGATGCCATTGGGGTGCCTAGGGGGGTACCTAATGAATTTAAAGCTAGAGATGAAGTAGCTGCAGGTTTTGAATCACTTTTTACCATAGTCACTGCCAACAAAAACCTTAATTGGATTAATTATATCTATTACAACCAACAGCGCTTCGTGAACTACACCAGGGATGCCCTCCAGGGCTTGGCCGAGCAATTACAGGCCACATCCCAAATGACCTTCCAGAACAGACTGGCCTTAGACATGATCTTAGCCGAAAAAGGGGGAGTCTGTAAAATACTTCCCGACACTATGACTTGTTGCACTTACATTCCAGAAAACACAGGTCCTAATGGTAAAGTCACTCTGGCCATAGCTAAATTAAATAGACTCTCTGAAGAGTTAAAGAGAAACTCTGGAGTTACTGATCCCTGGGAAAAATGGTTTGGTTGGATGACTGGTTGGCAGAGAGCTTTAGTCCAGATTGGTATTGCCTTACTAATTTTTCTTTTTATTCTCGCTCTTCTCATTTGTTGTGTCCTCCCATGCCTAAGGAAATTCCTGCAGAAAACTGTAGACCAAGCAACACCAACCTTCACTCATCTGACAATCGATGATCAAGACCTCATCTCACCCTGTATTCCGCTACAAACTCTCCCTTATACTGATGAAGTGCAGAAAGTCTAGGAAGGGACAGTACAGGGACAGCGTCCGTCTTTATGGGTAGACTGCCGTACGGAGAAGTAGTGGATAAGCCACTATGGGTTACCAGCGGAGTGAAGAGTGTTCCTGAACCGTACTGACGGATGTGCTGCAGCCTGTTAGGGTCAAGAGAGGGATAGACTTGCACTTTGCATTAACACTAAGTCAGCGGTCATGGGGTTTCTGTGTCTTTGGGCTAATACTTCTTCTGATACTAACAAATAAAGTTTTGTCTTTTAGCAAATAACATTTTAGGGGGGACTGTTGTAGAATTATTAGGCCTCTATAAATTTGTAAGGCCCCTTTAAATCCTCTTGCTATACCTCTAAGAGGCCCCCCATAGTTTTACAAGGAAGCTTTGTCTATAGAACATAGAATTTGCATGTCAGCAAGAAATAGCTTTGATAAAATGTGTATTTACTAAAATCCTTGAAACTTAACCTTGAGAAACTAACAAGTGCCAGCTACGCTCCAAATGGATAGCTGCCAAAAGGCCCCTCCCGTCGAGTGAGCTCCTCATTTTAACAAGATGGCGCTAAAACCTGTAGGAGTTAAGAAATTACGTAGATAGTGACCTAAGAATGGGGAGGGCATTTTACTAACATCTTAGCACCTAAACCAATTAACAATGTCTATTTGTCTATATCTTGATTTTCTTCAATGATGTAATAATGCCTTTATAAGGGTCTGCGCACCCATTTTCTGTCAGAAGCCATTAAGCTTCTCTGAAGTTCTTTCATTACCCTGAACCTTGTGTCTCAGTGTGAATTTACTTCTGCGTGCACGCAACTTTATTATCTTTAATTTGGACAGGAACAGATAGTCATTCAAACTAATTGGTTTGCAGTAAATTATCTAGAACACTATAACCTGCATTTACTAAAATATTATTGCAATCATTAAAGCCTTTTCTTTTCAACTAATTGCCTGCAACCTCCACCTTGTTTTAAAGCTACAGTAACCTTATTAATTTAAAGGATTTCTCCTCTTTTTGCTATTTTAATTAAGGAGTTTTACAAGCTGCAGTTGAGTTCCAAATCCAAAACCTCTTGTGACATAACAGTCAGACTCTCCCCTAGCCTTCAATCTTTTAAGAAATCCTTCAAAACCAATCTTTCCAGGATTGCTTATGGCCACCAAGAATAACTTCTACCTCTCAAACCTTCCTTTTACTCTCTTCTAAAGGGCCACACTCCACTCTCAGCTCCAGTTCTGCTACTTTCTCACCACGTCTATTTGCTGTCTCCCTCAATACCCTCCCTATTTTGTTTTTATACTCCACCTCCTCTAGACTGTAAGCTCGTTTGAGCAGGGTCCTCAACTACCTATTGTTCCTGTTACACTTTGTTATTGTCTTATTTGGGAAATTCCCCTTTTATTGCATAGCGCTGCGGAATTAGCTGGCGCTATATAAATACCAATAATAATAATAATAATTTCCTTTTTTTAAAAAGAGTTATGTATCTGCATATCAACCAAGTTTAAATGAATCCAATGAATTCTCACTTTTTGCATCGTCTGGCCATTGATATTGAATTCCTTTAACCCCTTAAGGACAAGTTTTGCTGTCAGATGTCTCCAGGGACGAAGGAGAGATAGAAATTGGGTGTTAAATGATGAAAGGGAAGAGATACATGGAATAGGCAAAAAGAACATAAAGTGGATATTTTGGAAGAGGGCAAAAACTAAAATTTCCATTGGTATTTATGTTTAGAAGTTACTCACACTTCTGTAAAGTAATTATTAATGGATACATGCCTAGACAAAAATACTTTAAAAATTAATGAATCTGTTATCCTTAAAAGTTAAGTTAGGCTAAGCATTTCCCAAACTACTCTGCCAATTCAAACTATGAGGTAACGTAACATTTTTCAATGAATATGCTCAAGATGCTTTGGCAATAGAAAGGGGAAAAATTTATGAAGATGCACAGAATTAAAGGTACTTTTTCAAGCCTTCAGCCCTTTAGCGAAGCAATTTAAACTTTGAAATTCTTGAAGTTGTAATGCTCTTGAGTCTAAAGAAAATCACATATTTACCCGAAATTTCCATGATGGAAAATGATTTTACTATATTTAATTTGATGACACGGCGCATGCACTTGATTGATATTCCACAGCCATGCTATTAAATCCATACTGGTCCTATATGCATTGCTCTGTTGTGGTTTATGACCTTGTTCAAGTTGGGGTGGTTAATTCTGGTTTTGACCTTGCCTAGGACTACTCGATTCCTGATTATCAATAACCTTGACCAGGTTAATCTTCACATTGATCCTGAATTCTGTTATCCTCAGTTGAGATTGTCTGATTGACTAATTAGTTGGTGTGCCTCTGATGTCCCTAAGCTTGGATTGGTGGATCGGGACAGGACCGTAAAAGAGAGACTCTCCTGCCAAATAGCTGGAAGGCATGTTAAAATGTCCTCTCGTGGTTAACCAAACAGAAGAAAAGAATTTTAGTAGCTAGGTTATATGTCCATCAAGATCTATGCATATTAAAAAGCTACATTTCCAGCCATCTTCATAAAAAACAAAAACAAAAAAAAAAACCTCCCCCCCCCTCCCCAGTAATACTTATGCTAAATATTTTGCATTCTCCAGCATTGGTCTTTAATGTACAATGAAATTATTATTTTTCTGTGCTCTGTTCTGTCCTCTGCTGAGGGACTGTCAATAGATGCCAGTCTCCTATTCTCTGCTGCAGGTTTTTACATTTTTATTGTGAGAGAATAGGAATTGTTCAGATCACATACAAGTACATGTGCAAGCATTTCTATATTCTGTCATATAGAACATCCAGAGTGCAGATTATATTAAACAAGGGTACAGCAATACGATTATTTTCTTTACAATAAACATAAATTC